AAAAAAAAGTTTAAAGAAAACATAATTTGTCAAAAAAAATATTTTAAAAAATTCATTTCGTGGACAATGAAAAAATCAGCCACGCGCATCCACCATAATTTAACATTTTGGCGAATGCGCTATTAATTTTAATAGCAAAATCTATATATTTATTTTTTAAATCCTAAAATAAAATTTGCTTATGTACTATGCTCCACAGGGCCGGCAGCTTTTCATTTTGACGTGTGGTGCTCATCTACAGTTGGTTGGTAGCAGTGGTTAATGGATGGGGGGGTGTGGGTGTTCTTTTCTTTAGGGGTTGCGGGAAGGAGAACAAAATAAAATTGGAATATTTTTTTAATCAATTTATTTATCAAAATCAGTAACATTTTATATACAGGGATATACTAATTTTAGCACTAATATATCCCCCCCGGAATGATTAAATTTAGTTTATATAGTTTTTTCGACAGTTCTTATTACGCGACATATTTTAAAGTTTTAAGTTAAAAAACTCACCCTGTAATGGAATCGAATGGGATAGGTATATTACTGCCACATCGGACGTTTTTAGGATTGGCACCTGCAACTTCTTGGATAAAGGTTTACCAGCATCAAAAATACGGGTTTAAAATAATAGTTCTAGATTTTTTTAAGAGAGACAATTAAAACAGAGTTAATCTAACTAACTTACCTTTGTTGATAAAAAGTCGGGTATGTATCCACTAACACAATTGGTGGTAGCAAACACGAACTCAGAGATAATAAACAAACCGCACGAACTGTAAATAATAATAATAATATAACTCAAAGTTTGGTCGGTTACCGTCGGTATAGTAGAAATACCCTAGATATACGTCGCGACGTGTCGGTATGTTATTCCTACTATACCAAGATAAATACACTTATACATACTATACCGACCGACTTTGATACTTTAAACTTTGGATTCCTCAGCTTTAACCGTAACCCAGACTGCAATGAAGGTTCGAAAATATTCCAGGAATATTCCCTATCGCCTAGGAATAATCCGCTTCATTCTAGGAATATTCATTGGAAATATTCCTAGAATGATCCTCTAAAACTTCCAAGCATCATCTAAGAATATTCCCAGTGAATATTCATTAGTTTAGTTGCAATACCTCTCACCGTTGCTTACGCACGCTTGATAACTATATATACCAATAGGTTAATAATATTAGTTGGAGATGTGCGTCTGTGATGGCACAGCCAAACAATGATTAGAGTGGGACTTGATCTACTCAGTAACTCAATAATGGCTATACTTAAGTTAAGTTCCTGGGTATAAGAGGCAATAAGGGCTGGGAATAATCCCCAAATTATATCAAGGAATATTCCCCTAACAATCCTTGAGTCTTCTGCAGGCAGATATATGGAATATTCTTTTTATGATGCCTGGGTTAACCAAAAAGCGGACATTTGATTATGCCAGGAATATTCCTGGGAATATTCTGGGACGATTGGAATATTCCTGGGAATATTCCTGACATGTGCAGGGAATGTGATTTTGCAGTCTGGGAAATTTGTAGAGGGCGTTGGTGTGTATCCCAGGCTAGCAGGATAAAAAATGTAGAGACCGCAAAAGAAATGCAATTTTTCTGCTGATGATACGTGTGGTGCTGAGCACCACCATTTTCCTTTACGTGTGGTGCTTGAGCCCGCGAGCACCGGTATTGTCGCCGGCCCTGATGCTCCACACCTAAAAGTCCCACCACGTGACCACGTACGGAACGCAGTCTTTTGAAAATTTGTTATGGATATGTATTTGTCAAAGTATAGTCAACGAAAGAAATAATATTATGTTTAGGCGTTAAAAATGTATAAATCTTTATAACATTAGAATAACAATGGATGGTTTAAGAATTTAAGAATATAAATACTGCATTTAATGAAATTCTAAAGTGTATGGTGCCAAATAAGTAATATTTTTGTACATTTGGTCCAAATATTTGGTTTTCTCCATAAAATAATTTTAACTAAACAGCATTTATTAAAAAAAATCTAGCTTCTCTATTATGAAATAAGAATACCTGTTTTGAAGGTAGGTTAATATATTATAACAAAAATATCATCCAATTTTGTAATTTTAAGGTTAGACAAATTTATTTTGACCAAAATAAATAAGTATTTTGGATTATTTAAAAGACTGTATAATATGGCATTTAAAATGTGGTAGTTTTTCTTATCCAGCTTAAAGTGTACCTACATAAAGTTATGTCAATACAAAAAGTTAAAAAGCTTCGACTGAATTTGATCTACAACAAAAAATCATTATAACTTTAAAATTTTTAATAAATCACATGTCATGGGAGTATTAAATATTTTCACATTGCAAGTTTCTCTAAAAATTGTTTGTTTTCTTATAATCTAACTTAAAGTAAGTATGCCGAGAGGTATGCACAAGTTTTGTCGTTAGAAGTATAAAAGCTTCAATTTAATTTGAACTATATTCAACAATTATTTAGTATACCTATATTTATTTATGACCATATTACACTCTTTCAAATAATCCTTATATTATATTAATTTAAATATTTTGTTAAAATAAATAAAAATAAACAATTAATAATGTAAAAATTAATTAAAAAATATTGTTAAAATAACAAATTAAAATAATTAAATGAAGACATACTATTTGTGTAAAATCAATAGAGAATTATTTGTTAAGTAACACTTTTTTACGTAAAATAAATAAAATATAAATAAATTAATTATGTTAAAGTTATACAGATTTTAAATCATATTAATTATTAGTTTAGGTTAAAATAACCATTTAAAAAAAATTGACACACATGATTTGTTAAATTAACTTTGCAGTTATAACTATATGTAAAAAAATAACATATATTAATTTTCTTTTACACATTCTGTTGTGTTAAAAATTAACATAAGAAATAAAAATAAAAAAACTAGAAAAATGTTGTGGATTTTCTGGGGCATACAACTATGTTAAAAATACATATAAATTTTTTTTTGTGTAGGACCATATATTATAATTAATATGTATAACAAAATTATGTATCAATAATTCAACCATAATTCTTGTAATGTTCAAAAAGGAACTTATTTTTAAAAACCTTTTTGTAGAAACAGTAACAAAAGTATTTGTTGGAAATTGTAAACTTAAATAAAAAGAATTTTGATAAGAAATGTTGCTTTATTAATCAATTTCCTAAACAAAAAAATTAACACATACCTACATAAATAAACAAAAAAATAACATACCAGATACTATGCATATTTAGTAATTTTTAAATATCCATGTATGTTAAACCTTAAGGTTTGTTTTTAATTCTTATTATAATTAGATTTTTTTCATTACTAATAAGTATAGTAAATTTTAAAATATTATGTTGCCATTTTAAATATAAAATATTTTAAAATCGAATATTTTTATATGTTAACAATTAAAAATTTTAACATATTTATTGTACTTTTTAATATACAAAAATGTTATGAGAAAGAATTGAACCTACACCTCGCCAAAGTTTTTTGTTTTGAGTGCGTTCCATCAACTTCAAATACCGACAGACAGGTGTTTTGACCTATATTGGGTATCATCAGTGTCCACACGACACTGTCGAGCAACTTGTAGTAGTGGAACACACCCAAAACAAAGAAATACCTGAGCTTATATAACATGGTTGGTAAGCCAACAGAGGCGAGATGTAAGAACATCACGTGATCCACACCGTCTAACGACGCGTCGCGACGTGGCCTTTGCCGCAATCGGTACATACTATGCAACCAAGTAGGTTCAATTCTTTCTTATAAGTATTACCAGTAATGGGCCAAGAAAGTTTATTAAAGAAACTAAGAAAATTAAATGTTTAAAATGTCATTTTGTATATTATACATATTTAAATATATTGTTTATTTAAAGTATCTTTATTTTTACTATATTTTTTATTAATGTGTAATATATTATAATATATATATTATAATATTAGATGTACACCTTAAATTTGATTAAATCATATAGTAAATATTACTATTTGTAGATAGTAAAACCAATTTACTATACGAACATATTAAAAATTGAAATATATATTATACATTTATGATTTAGTAATATTGGTGTTGTAATCTTTACTAAAATTGTATAATAAAAAATAGTATTTTGTATTACAATTTTAATATTGTATTGACGAATATATAATATTGTTATCCTAAAAATTTGTTAAAGTAACTTTTACTATATTTTTTTTAATATTTAAAATTTACTATACATTTCTATCCGTGCACACAACTAATTAACACACCATTCTGAAATCGTCAAATTATAAAGAAATTTGGTACAATATAACTATCAGTACTAATACAGCACTTACTGATGTATTTCGTAACTTTAACCCACTTCACTGTATCCCCTAATTTCAGTTTGAAAACCAGTGATGGCATCTCTTTTGGATACTTCGCACTTCACACTTGTTAAATGGATATAAAGAATCCGAATAACAATAATAACAGATTTCTGGTAATATATTATAAACAACCACCTAACAACATATCAATTTAATCAATTGATTTTATAGGTAAATTTTTTTTGTAAAATTGGTGAATGACCCATAATTTACAAAAATAACGAGCACGTTTCAAGACAAATAACATAAAATTAAAAAAAATTGGAGCACCATTTACGAAATAGTTATGGTGGCAGGAATAACTGCTACGAATTAAACAAAATACGTATCATTTGGAGATAATAATCGTAAAACTGAAACCAAAATCGAAAGTGCGAATTAAAAATCGTTGAAACTGCAGCTAAATGAAATTTTCATGAAAATGAGTAACAAGACGGCGAATTGTCGCTTGAAGCAACAGCATTCGAGCTTGGTGTTACGTTGAGCGTGCACCTGAACCTAACCTAAAAATGAAGCGCCTCCAAGTCTAGCTGGGCGGGTAATAAGCCGGAAAGTTTTGTCGGCGCCGCCTTTTCAACCTGGAACCGAGATAAAAACTGGTTGCAAACCGACGGGAGAGCCAATGGGAGAAGAGCTGGGCGGTGTTTGCCGCGCGTAACGCTGAAAGGTAGCGAAATCTGTCGGCCGAAAGCGCCAACTAACCGGCAAAGCCGACTATTATATGATTATTCTTCATTATAGTCCCTACGCTCGTAGGAAGTAGATGGTTGTATTCGAACGGCCAATTTTCGACGTAAAAAAACAACAATTTCGTGTAATTTGGTTTCGGTTTAATCCTCAAATAGTTTTTACTCAATTACAGTGTGAATTACACGTATTAGCGCAGTCGAATGCTGCAAATTGCTCTCGGTCGCTCGATTAACGTCATTAACTCTTTAAACTAATTTTATTGCACTTCGATTTCGATCATCGGTCTTTAGTTTTAAATACTTTTAATCAAGTGATAGTGTTTGTAAACTTTGTGTTGTGCTTCTGACTTTTGACTTGCGGGATACCAACAGTTAGTGACTTAGTGCTTGATGCTTTAACCTCCTTTAAACTCAAAACGTCTCCGAACTTCGTCAAGGTGGACAACAAACCTTTCACGACGTTGAACTTCACGGATTTGGGTTCCCCTTTTGGGGGGCCCAACGAAGACCCCCCCGGTACTCCGACCATGTCGGGCGAGGGGCATATCGGCCCCCCAACCCCCCATGAGTCCAACAACTCCACCCCCGTGTCCAAAAGCGCCTTCATCGAGCTCCAGCAACACGGTTACGGTCCGCTCAGGACCTCGTATCAGCACCATTTCAATAGTCCGGCGGAAAACGCACATTCCGGGCCAGGGGGCCACGACGGCGGTTTTCCGTCCCCCAGGGGGGCCCTGGGTGCCTACCCTTTCCCGCCGATGCACCAAAACTCCTACACCGGATACCACTTGGGATCTTACGCCTCCAATTGTCCACCTTCCCCAAAAGACGACGGTAAGTTCATAAGCACTTAAACACCACTTGATGAAGCATTGAAACCACAAACCCATTAATTATCTAAATTATCCATCAAGAATGGATCATTACCTACTCCACTTGGTTAAGGCAATAACAATAATTGTCACCTGATACCATCTAGAAATACCTCGCTAACCGACTCAAATCTATTATGACATATCCAAATGATCTTATCAACTTTCTATATGTACACTTGATGACCCAATACGCTGCAACATTTTTTAAATGATATTAACTTAATAAGATCACCGGTAGGTAATAAAGCTATTTTTCAATTAGTGGAGCCATTATTTAATTAATTAATTGGGTTACGTTGGTTGTGGTGTTTATAATGTGAGGGATTTCCTACACAAAAGAAAATTTAAACTCGAGTGTTGGACCTTTGTTTCAATAACTACACTGTTTAAAATATCTGTGGTGTAAAGAGTAATGTAATCCTAAAATGGTGTCAAAATCCAACACCAAGTGGTGTTAATATAACACCATGAATTATGGTTGAAAATGGACACCAAAACGGTGTTTATCTAAAAATATTTGAGAAATGCACCTACACAGAAAAAAAGGAATAGTTCATTTAACTATATTAATTTAGTTGACCCATAAGTATTTATTTTTTTGTGGATCACGGAATGTTCTTAAATCTCGCCTCTGTTGACTTACATGGAGAATATATAAGCTCAGGTGGTCCTTTGCTTTGGTGTGACACTACAAGTTGTTCGATACTAGACCTTAAATAGGTGGAAAGCTGTCAATACTTTAAGTATTTTAAGTTAGTGGAACGAACTAAAAACATTATCTCTAGCGAGTTGAAGGTTCCATTTTCTGGAATAATACCACTGGTAATATACTAGTAATGCGTCAAGGAACTTCCTGTTTCCATTTTTTTCCTTTTTTCTGTGTAGTATGATTTAATTTGACCACAAACACATAATATTTAACACTGAAAAGGAGTTCAATTTACACCAGGTAAAATTTATTTTAATACTGTGTGAAAGTTAAATTAACACCATTTTAGTATTTGAATTTACACCGGACCAACGAACCCTATTTAACACCATTTTGGTTTGTATCGATATAGACCATATATGGTGTTAGTTTGGAGTTAAAATGGTCATGAAATTTTGAACAGTGTATAGACTATAGACATTGAATCAGCCGTCGGAAAGTTGATCAACAAAATGAGAAATTTTTTTCAAATTACAAACAAAACAAAAGACCCACTCGAAGAAAACATCGACTTACGTTGTTGCATTCGAAATATAATTGAATAAGTATGTACGCTTTTTGGATACATGTGTAATTTTGATAAATTTATTTGACATAGAAGGTTACCTCAATTACTTTGTGCTGACGAATTTTTTATCACCGTTTCTACATAGAAACTACATTTAACGAACCCAATGTTCAAGATTATTGTTCATATGATGTAATTGCAAAACGGTTATGCTCATGGCCTATTTTTCTTCCAGACAAATGCTTATCGTTAGAGAGGCCATCAGGCGGCGGGAAAGGGAAGAAAATGAGGAAACCTAGAACAATTTACTCCAGCCTGCAGTTGCAACAATTGAACAGGAGGTTTCAAAGGACACAGTATCTAGCTCTGCCTGAAAGGGCGGAACTTGCAGCTAGCTTAGGATTAACTCAGACACAGGTCAGTTTATCTGCTATAGTAACAAATTTCCAAATTCACTATGATGCTTGAAGATAAAAGCATATATAATAATTGAAGTGATGGTACCTTAACAAAAGAAAATTAAAAACAAATGAAGACTAAAATACCATTCATCTTCCTCTCCTTTATCTTTTATTAAGTAAGCTACTGTTCTTTCAATCATTAATTTGAAGCATTCGTCCAATGGATTAGTACCGTGTCTTCATTAAATAAATTATTATCGACGCAATTTCAAATTTCATGCCCACAATTATTAATTCGACTCATGTTATTACAATATTGTTTCGTTTTTCGTTCAATCTCCATGAAGAGAGACTCCAACTGAGTTTTCGAATTTTCATTATTATTTATTTAGCCTCTTGTTTTTAGCCCCGTTTTTCCATTGTGTGGGAATTAAGTTATTGACAGGATCGATTGCGAACCTTTTCTTGTTGTATGAATAATTTCTTTTGTTTCGTTTTTTAAGTCTTGATGAAGTTTTTAAGGAGTGTCTTTCGACCAAAAATAACAGTATCTATAATGAGGTCTAGACAAAAACATACCTTGTACATTTTGCCTTAAAAAAACTACATGTTCGATCGCATTTTTCACCAGAAAACTATCTTACACACTTGCCGCAAGTGGCACCGTGTTAACATTACATCTCTTTTAATATAATATAATATTTAACCGCATGTAATCATCAAAATAACATACCTATAATTTGCAATAATCTTTATTTTAATTTATTATAAAGATCTCTGAACAAATAAAAAACTACATATGTGATATCAGCAAAATTAATATACATACCTACATGTAGTTTTAATATGTAAAACTTTTATTATCGATGTCCAGAATTAAACCTGGAGTAGTAAAAATTCGTTATCACCTGTAACAAGACTAATTAGAATTAGATAAAAGTTTACAATCTTTGTCGGCTTTATAATTATAGCGAGTGTTCGGCAAAAAGAGCGGATATAGACTATAAAAAAGGCATAATAAAACATATATTTCAATGCAAGGATAAAAATATCGTGTCCATTAATTGAGTAATAAATGTTAATGGAAATTATCTTTGAACTAATAAGAAATTGGCACTAATTTACCAAGATAAATTAGACTACTGCCAAATAGCACAACTGGTAAAATAACTAGCATTCCATGTAAATTAACCTATAGGTAAATTAAGGTTATTTTAAGAGTTTAAATTGACTATGAATAAACCAAATATTTAAGTAGTTTATAGTTTATATATAAATTTTCTGTGATAATAGAAAATATAGACTTTCTTCAACCTACTATAAAAGAGTTAACAAAGTTGTAAATAATTATTTATCTACAAATCTTAAAACAGTCTCCTCGCATTTAATTAATTTGGTAAGCAGAACTGTTATTCTGCAATCCTTTGACAAAGAAATCCCTATATTACTTACTCTCTAAAAATGAATAAGTCAAAAATGTCATAGCGAAAAAGCAGCCACTGATAATTCTCGCCAACAGCAATTTGTATCCAGGACATTTAGCAGTCAATTACTATATGGAATATTATTCGCTGAATCCGAAAATGTCGTCAAAAGTTATAGAAGTAGAACAGTTTTTGAAATATAATCAATTTTACATATAATATGGAATCGACTATATCTCAAAAACTGCTTAACTTTTATAGTTTTTGACGGTTTTTTCGGGTTCAGGACAATTTTACATAAGAATTGGCTGGTAAATATAAATAGAGTATGATATTGAACATATCGTCCCCGTTCTGGCAAAAGTCATTAACTCCATTTTTGTCTAAAAGTAGTTAACTACCTTCGCGATCATAGAACAATTATATCTGTGGTCTAGAAAAACTTATTAAGTGCAGTATTGTATTTTAAGCATGTTAAAAATACAATACTGCACTTAATAAGTTTTTCTAGACCACAGATATAATTGTTCTATGATCGCGAAGGTAGTTAACTACTTTTAGACAAAAATGGAGTTAATGACTTTTGCCAGAACGGGGACGATATGTCCAATAATAGAAATTTACATTTTTTACCAACCAGTAATTGGTTACTGATTGTTTTCAGAGTTAAAATTAAAATGCATTAAAGTGACAATGTTTAAACCATGAGGAACACATTTATACCACACACTGATCTGTACACTTATTAGAAATATTTTTTATTGTAATTTAAACACAGCCCTGCTCTTAACAAAAAAACAAAAATCTTAACACCAAAGTAACGTGCGAACTTTTTTGTCCTATATTGGACCCAAAATAAAGTAGTTCTATATTATTACCGACTGAGATAGTTATAATTGTATACAGCGTCATCTAATGATTTGAGTTTAAGGTAACTATTTATAGAACTCTTGTTTTTCAGTATTAATGTTAATTGTCCAATATCTATAGTGTCCGATAACTGCCTATAGTAAAGTATACTTTACCTTATCTATATAGCTATACATAACCATTTTTGGTAAATTTTAATTATGCAAGATCGATCGCATTCTATTGTATGCATTAAATTGGTTGTATGTATTCACATACAATACCCTTAAATATGACTCAATAAAATCAACTGGGCACCCGTCAAAACAGTAATTTATCGACAGTCAAGGGTGGCTATATGCAAAGCGACTGGATTAGTGTTACACTAATTGCCCATTAGTGCTACACCAAGTTCCATAAATTCAATTTATAATTGACACACTATATAGACGGAGACGACGGGCTCCTTTAGTTATTAGTTAAGGTATAAAATGACCGTTTACAGTAATAAAATTTTCTTTTAATATTAACATCTAGCTTGCGTTGGTATTCCTAAAACAGAAGGGTTAGTTAATTTGCGACATGAAAGAACGAAAAGCACTAAAGAAATGAAAAATTGAGGTACTGTAGTTTTTATACAGTCACACAGAGAATTGAAGTTTTACAGTAATACAAAATATTGGTCCTACATGGGGCGTGTCTATGCCCAATATTTTATCTGGAGCCAATATTGAATTTATTTAGCCGATGTTAGCCCTATATTGGCATAAAATGATAATTTAATATATCATTGCCAATGTTTATCCAAGGTTGGTCCTATATAGGCATACGAGGTGTGTTCAGAAAATAACGGGAATTGTTAAATTTCGCGGGTTCAGAGGGTCCGGTTGTCATAAAATTTTCTTTATTATGTTGGTATACATACCCCCGAAGTATGATAAAAACTTTAGCTGTTTTCATTGTTTACTTTGTATGTGGCAGCCGCTAAGGTTTGACGTGTTTTATGAGCTCGGCGATTTTTCGTTCGTTAAAAGAAATGGATCAAAGAATTTGTATCCAATTTTGCTTAAAAAATGAAATAAATTCTGTGAAATGTTAACAAAGGCCTATAGTGAGTCTGCTATAAGTAAAACAGGAGTTTACAAGTGGTATAAGAGTTTCAAAGATGGCCGTGAAGACGTTGAAGATGACGAACGCACAAGCACATTAACAACCGATAAAAACATGGAAAAAGTGAAACCATCAGAGAAGTCGCTGATGATGTTGGTATATCGATTGGCTCATCCCATGAAATTTTTTCGAATGTTTTGGGTATGAAACGCGTGGCAGCAAAATTTGTTCTAAAATTGTTAAATTTTGAACAAAATTTTTGGCCAAAAACAATACTGTGATGACGCCCCAGCCTCCATATTCGCCAGACATGCCTCTGTCTGACTTTTTCCCATTCCCAAAAATAAAGAGAACCTTAAAGGGCCGTCGTTTTGCAAGCATAGATGGCATTAAACGCGCATCGCTGAAAGAACTAAAGGCTATCCCAAAGATCGAATTTTAGAAGTGTTTCGAGTATTGGAAGAAGAGCTGGCACATGTGCATAATATCCAATGGGGACTATTTTGAAGGCGACAACATTAATGTAGACGAATAAATAAATATTTGTTTCAAAAAACGAATATTCCCGATATTTTCTGAACAAAAAAAAGTACCACCCATACAAAGTGTAGAAATCTTCTTTTTGAATGGTACAGTCAAAATTGTAGTTACTGGAGCAGAGAAAGGGCAGGAATGGTAGAAAATTGGATCATATAGGTCCTTTATTCTTCGCAAAACTTTCTTTTTCCCAGATAAGCAGAAAATATGAAAAGTTTACATCAAAATGGAAATGAAATTTTTGAGTTTGTTTCATGCTTTTGCCTGTCACTATAAATAAATTGCTCTTCATGCTGTTAAATCATGGATAAAGAGATGATGTTTTTGGTTGTTTTAAGTAGTTTGTGTAAGCGTAAGGTGGATCACCTTCTGTAGCCCTTATAAGCCCATTCCACAATTCGGTTTCGTCTCTAGTAGGATAATCAACACTCGCTAGAAAACGTGTAGCGAGCATCAACAGATCAGCGATTCAATCCCTGAATGACTTTATATAGGTAGGTTTGAATCGCTTGTCCGCTCGCTAATCGCCTCGATTCAAGGAACCGCTGTTTCTATTGAATTTGGCCTTAGATGGCAGTTTCGCTTTTCTTCTGCTTCGACTTAATGTTTTAATAGAATTCGATTTTATCACTTCTCACGTAGACACAAACCGAAATATTCAACGTCTGTAGCTGTTTTTAAGGCAGCAGCCACTTCCTTAAATATCTAAGGTTTTTATTTAGAACGCTTCCACGGATTAATGGAAAAATCTTCTTGATAAATCAACTACGCAATAAGTTTAGAAAAAATGTTACATCCCATCGAAATAGATTGATTGTTTCGTGGAAAAACTACAATACAAATACATACGAGGTGTGTTCAGAAAATATCGGGAATTTTCGTTTTTTGAAACAAATATTTCTTTATTCGTCTACATTTATGTTGTCACCTTCAAAATAGTCCCCATTGGATATTATGCACATGTGCCAGCTCTTCTTCCAATACTCGAAACACTTCTAAAACTCGATCTTTGAGATAGCCTTTAGTTCTTTCAGCGATGCGCTTTTAATGTCATCTATGCTTGCAAAACGACGGCCCTTAAAGGTTCTCTTTATTT